GATGATGCTATTCTCTTTTGTAGAGCTGATTTTCACAATGTTGAACTCATTTTGAACATCCTAAGGGACTATGACATCTCTTCTGGTCAATTAGTAAACCCAGAAAAATAATCAATTTTCTTTTCAAAAAACACTCCTCCTCAAACCAAAGACACAATGTGTAATAAGTTGAATGGTATCTCTATAGTGAGCACATCTAAATACATTGGTCTTGGTCTTCCCACTGGGACTAGGAAAAAAAAAAAACTTTTTAATTTGTTACTGATCTAGTGATTCAAAAAGTCACAAGTTGGAAAAACTGTTTCTTAAGTGAAGCTGGTAGAGAAGTTTTAATAAAGTTGTTCTTGAAGCTCTCCCTACTTATGTTATGGCCTGCTTTAGACTGCTTGCTGGAATTTGTGCGAATATTTGTTGGATTGTGGCTAGATTTGGTGGGGGCACAAGGAGAATGGGAAAGAAAAAATTCTTTGGTGTGACTGGACTTTTCTGTCCAAGCCTAAAACTTGTGGTCTGTTAGGTTTTAAAAACATTAGGGCTTTTAATAAGGCACTCATAGTTAAACAGCTATGGAGATTTATTACTACGCCAAATTTACTGGCTAGTAAAGTGTTAAAAGAGAAGTATTTCTGGAATCAAAAGCTCTTAGATGTTAGGGTTAGAAGTGTGGACTCATGGTTGTGGATGACCTGGCTTGCCGCAAGAAGCTCTCTGCAACAGGGAGCTAGGTTCCAAGGTTCCAGGTAGGAGATGGAAAATCAATTAGAGTTTGGGATTCCCCTTGGTTGCCTAGTAGCATTAGCTTTAAATCTTTATGCAACTTCAACTAGATAGTTGCAAGTTGACCTGGGTGAAGTGAGTTGATGAAAAATAGTGGCTATGAGTGGGATGAGGAACTGATTAGACAAACTTTTAATCCTTTTGAAGCTGAAAAAAATTTAAAAATTCATATCAGCCGACCTGGATTAAAAGATAGATTTGTGGGGCATTGGCATCCTACGGGTCAGTTGACTGCAAAAAGTGTCTATGCAACAATCCTATCTCATCAATATAAACACTTGGAGTTAGCACGCACCAGCTCAGGCCACACAAAGGAGTCCAGAATGTGGGAGACTACTTGGAAATTGCCCATTGCAAGGAAGCTACATGTATTCATCTGGAAATGCTAGAATGGCTTCATAATATAACTAATTGGCTCGAAGATAAAAGGATGGATGTGGACACTATCTGCAGCATGTGTGGAGTGCAAGAGGAAAACCTTGAACACATCTTCTTTAACTGTGAAAGAGATTTGGCCTGTTGAAAATTAATAGGAATACAATGAAGCAGCCTGAAGGGGATCAACACCAGCTTTCAGAATTGGTGGAGTGAAGGTTACATAAAGAGAGGAGAAAGCTAAGTAGTGGACAGGATCAGTCTTTCAACCTACCTCCTATGGTAGTTGTGGAAGATTAGGAATGCTTGGAAGTTCAACAAGCAATGAATTGAAGAGAGGATATTGGTGGACCTCGCAAAAGGAGATTAGCTAGAGTTCACATCAGTTGTTCAATTAGATGAAAGAAAACCTGACGGAAGCAAGCATTCAGGGGTTCAGACTCAGGATTCAGTACCTGGTGGTTCCTTGGCTGAGATAGGGGTAGGGCAGCTAACCTTCAATGTCAGTGCTCATCTTTCTTAGTACGAATCAGTTGGAGTAGGGTGTATGGGTATGCAGGAAGAACAGACTATACTTGTGGAATGAAGTGTTGAACTATGCAGGAAGTAAAGATAAAGCAACTTCGCCATCAGGTGAAGTCTACAAAAGCTTCTTTCCACAGGATCACAAAGAGATAAAGCTTTCGTTTGCAAGGTAGACTCCCCATCATTGTCAAGCAGCTCAACAGCAACAGCACCCTCTCTTCAATTTTCTTAGATATTTTGTTGCTTTTGGACTCTTTTTTTAAGTCTTTTCATATCATTTAGGTTGTTTTTTGTTGTAGTCTTGCCTTGTTGCTTGCCATGAAGGCTTTGAAGGGGAAATAATTGCTATTTTCATTTTTTCTGTTCACAATTCATCTTTAGTTTGTGTTCGATTTGTACGCTTGATGTAATTGTCCCGAGTTCTATTGAAGTTTGTTTGATATTTGGAAAAAAATAAAAAGAAAAAAAGAAAAAAAACTCATGACAACGTGCACATACCTTTTGTTGGTTCAAAGTCCATAAAAAATCCCAAGTTAGTGTTTGTTTTGAAGCAACATGGTCTGTATGACCCCTGGAATAGCACAGACAAATTGCTAAAAAAACGTTCGTGTTGGCACAACGGATACCAATTCTAAGTGATGAGAAAGGACTTGGGCTTTAAAACATAATCTTTAGGTAATCAAGGAAAAATGGCTAGCTGGGGAGAGAGACAAGGTATAACCAATTACACAACCTTTCTTTTTATGTACACGTATGCGCCTCGCCTTTGTTTATATCATACGAGGCGTGTCTCATGAAATAAGCACGTCCTGCTTTTTAAGAGGCATTTGACAAGCTCCACCTTTCCTTCCACTATTTCTGGCCCCTAATTAAGCACTTATACTCTCTACAACCCTCCGTCTGTCTTTCTTTGTTTTTCTACAAATATTCACTGGGTAACAACAAACAACACGAAAATAGTGTGCAGTTTACACCGTTTACGTGTGTGTGTTTGCATTGCCTTTCACTTATTTGCATCAAAGCCGAACGTTACATTATGAAATAAACATGTGTTATATGTACATGTAAAGGATCTTGGTGTAATTACACAGATAAATAAGGGTGCTTGTGTAGCTCACTGAATACCGTCATATCAGGCCCTTATCGAGATCGATTTTCAGTTTTCAGAAAGCGTATATATTCCTGCTGCACCATTGCACCTCCATTGATCGAGTCAAAGCTGCACCTGTAGAAACTGGTTGTGGGCCAAAGGGAGAAACAAGAAGAAACAAAAGCAAATAAATCATTATTATAGAGAGATGAGACTAGAGTCACTTCTCAAACTTCACTTCCCTTTCTTATCAGTCGGATGTTACTGAACATTGTTGTCATATGCGTTAATTCATTTCTTTCTAATTAAATTTCATTAATAACCTAACCCTACTAAATATTTAATTTCTTAACGTGAGTACCAACAGACGTGTTAATAATTTAAATGTGATTCATTCCAAAGACACTTATATAGCACCAAGTACTCCCAGAAAAAGCATCTATATCTCATCGATAGTCTCACGTTTATCATGTTGTTGTACTCTTGAGAGCAGCAGGTTATAGCACAAACACAGATGTGAGAAAAATGAAGTGTCAAGTGGTTAATTTCACCTTCCATCCATGCCCACAATAATAACAGAGTTTTGAGAACCAAATGCAGCAATGAAGTGGGTGTTCTCCGGCAAGTGGAACTGAGCAAAGGACCACTCTGAGCTGAAATATTTAGGTAAAACCCCTGGAGAGTTACACAAAAAAAGGGAATGAGATTCATAGTTCTAGTTATGTAATTACACAAAAAACTAGTAGCCAAAAAGTATAATTGGACATATAAGTATCTTAAGAAATTCATGTTATCAATGAACTACATACACACTGACACATTGTTCGTGGGATGCATAGATAGAGTCTAGACAACCATGACTACCAAAATCAGAGGGGATTGGCAGCATACATTTGTAATTTATCATTTAAGGGTACATAAACTAAAACAATAATTAAAGCAAGAAAGTGCATATATTCCAAACTCAAGCTTGATTTAGTTAAGAAGTCCACTTTGGTAATTCCCAATGAGTCAGCAAGAATAACTGTCAAACTACTACACTGGTTCATACATACTACAGCTGACCTATTATTGTTAAAGCAAACAGATAGTAACATCACATCACCCACCAAAAAACTAAGACACGAAAAAATTGGCAGGGAAACATCCCTAGGAATTCAAATGAAGTACCAAAAAATGTCATTTTCAGGCTTTTGGAGACTGAAGTAGTTGTTAAAGCAATGCTGTCCAGGGGTAAGATTCCTCTTGTCTAACCTTTCATGAATGAAAACGACAATCCAGGATTAGCACCGGAACTCGGAGAAATTAGAGGATCAAGAGAGTTTGAAGAATGCTGAGTAAAGAATTCCGGATTTTTAGCAGCCCTCGAATCAGTTGACATATCCTCACCAACCACCCGCACTCTGAGACTAAATATGTGGACAGTGCCTTTGTCGCTGGACACAGCTAACCACTGAACATTTGGAGATAAAGCAATACTGTATATATCTGCTTTATCTGTCCCTCTACGAACCTGTAGTAAACAATTAATATACTCTAGAATGATGGATGAACCAAAAGAAAAAAAGGGTAAATTGATAACTAAAGTGGTGATAAATAGTGTGGATCTCATGCAAACACAAGATCAACCTTTCAAAACCATCAAACCAGGGACTATGCTAATATTAAGTGTTCATGAATAAAAAAAATGTGGAGCACCTTGTCCAACATGTGTTTCCAAGAAAAGAGTGTGATGAACATAAAATGCTTGCGCAATTATGGATGCATATATTCTTTGATAAGTATACATCTAATCCCAGTAAATTGCATTTTCACTATATCATAGAGTTTAATTTGATTTGCTTCAAACACTCGTCAAATAACAGACCCTTTTGGTAACTGTCCAGTTAAAGGTTAGCAAAATCCTCGAGTAAAATATAGCACTCCCTGAGAATGATTCACTTTTGTGCTCCTAAAAGATGACATATCATTCTACACTTACATATTTATGGTTGTTGCAATGCTTTACAAGATATTATTTAAAAAAAAAAACACACACACACACACACAAAATAATGTATTTTATTTTGAAGATATGTTTTTAGAAAATAAAAAAAAGTATGATAAAGAAGACCAGTCATGAAAAAGAACAAAACGAGAAAGGAGGTTATGAAAGACAAATGTCATATTTTCGACATACCTAATTTTACTTACTTTCCACATAACTCAAAAGATAAGACCGATTACACACACTAAGCATGATCATCTCTCAACAAAACAAATCATCAGTTTCCAGTTATAAGCCAAAGTAAGAGCAAGAACACGAACTCATTAGTTCAATATTCAAACCATCTCAAAAATACACCCATAATATTACCCAAACAAAAAGTGTTCCCCTAATTCGAAACAAACACGATTGATATACAAAAACGCATTACCTCTTGCAACCGAGTACCATCCATCGTGTTGAAAATCCTTATCAGCGTCCCCCTAACGCTGGCAGTCGCAAGTAGAAGCCCATCCATTGTCAAGGTCAAACAAGCCACCCTCGAATCATGAGCGTTAATCAATTTCGTAACGTTCAGACCAAAATGCTCGACTCGAACTTGCCCTCTCCTCAAACCCGGGCAGGCCAAAACCGATGTGTTCATATGCTGCGACAAACAACAAAGTCCTCTCGAATTCCCCAAAGTCTCTATTTGATACAAAAGCTTGAGATCCATAAAATTATACACATATATCTTATGCTCAAGAACAACTACCACACAGTCACGCCTGAGCTTAACTGCACGAACCTCGGATCTGAAGGAGAACTCACCAATAACCCTACTTTGGTGATCGTCCCATATGATCACTTTATTAGGAGGGTATTGGGTGTTGACTTTACTGCCGACGAGGGCAAGTATATTGCACCTGAAGAGCATCTCAACTATCTTAAATCCCCCGCTTTTCAGATCACGCCTGAAGGTCTCTTTGAAGGGTTCACAATTATATATGCGAAAGCCATGGCTAGTTCCAGCTGCAAAGCAGCCATGGTCCTGGTTCCAGGAGACCGAATGAAGCTCGGCCTCCTCGTTTTCAACACTCATGGAGTTGTGAGTATTGTTAAATTCGGTTCAAGGGGGAAGTATTTATCTGGATGTTGAGATTAAGGAGGTCATGGATGCTTTCAGACCATCATCGGCATTGATGAAGCAGAAAAATCTTGAACTGATTCAGAATGGGAATGTTCAAAGAACTTAGGTTAGATTTTCCCAGCATTTCAGAATGGGTGAGATTTGAACCAAATTTTTGTAGACAACACAATAATAACAATCTACTACAACTACAAACAAAGCTGTCAGCAAATACTAATGATGAACACATTTGTTAACATTAATGAGCGATTGTCATGTCTGGCAACTTCGATTGTCAGTGATTCAATACATGAAATCTCATTAACAAGAAAAAAAAAAAAAAGGGAGGAATGGGAAAAAGGGAAATATTCGATTGATAACATCTTGGGAGCAAAATAATATCGCGTGATTACTTACAGATCTAATTAGCGATAGAACTTCAACTAATTGGCCGTCGTCAGGCAGAATTTGAAGACGCACAATTCGTGAAACCTGTAATTTTAGTTCGTCGATTAGAAGTCCGAAAAAAAAGAAAGAAAAATGGAGTAGTCATGAGCAAAGAGGATGCAATCCTTCTATCCTTCCCCTCGAAAATAACCAATTTGCAGACATAAATATTAGCGCTGCAAGCTGGATTTGTCTACGAGGATTTTAAAATTAGAAGAAAATTAATCGCGAGTAATACCGACAGAAACTCTAAGGTGGAGAATCGTATGGTACTCTGACACGTGTTGAGAGAGAGGGATCAAGACCAATATGATCATTCGACATTAAAACGAGCAACAAAAATTGTATGATTTTTTTTTTTTTTTTTTTTTTTTTATGCATAACAATAATAATCCCTCTATATATAACTTCTGGATGTGTTGAGACTAAGTGGCAGACTCGCATGTTTCGATATCTTATGTGACAAATTTCGGGATCTTATGTGACAATTTTTTATGCTTTGTGATTTGGCTCGGATGAATTTTAATTTACTCTCAATCCAAAAATAATTAGATTTGGAATAGTCATTAATATAGTAGATATTTATAGACATTTTTAAGAGCATTAGTATTATTTTCTATTCTAGACGTGATTTATAAGGCATAAATTTTTTTCTTCATCTTTCTTTTAAAATTATGAAAATATTACTATTTTAAATTATAAATAGATTTAAAAGTTAATAATGTTTCAATTTATTATCAATTTTTTACACACAATATACCAAATTAATCATGTCTTGATGAGCTTCGTTTTGACACATATATTGTACATATAAAATAAATAAATAATTATATCTTTCTAATAAAAATTATATTTCATATAAATATTAAATAAAAAACATAAAATTATCTAAATCGATTTAAAAGCAAAGTTGTTAAATGATATAAGTTTTATAAAATACTTACAAACACCGTGTGATACACGGCTATTGGACTAGTAATATATAAAGGTAAAAAAAGTGTACAACTGGAATGTCAATTGACATCACAAGTATCAACACAAAGTTTGGATCCAAGTTCCCTTGGCCTTACACAGATCGTTAAGGGAACAATCGACCTAAACACTTCCAAAACGGAAGACATAAAAAATCCCAACACATGAGACTAAAACCCGAACACAGTCGGGACTAACACAAAATACACACCTAAAATACAACAAAACATTGTATAAAGTCTCTATTGGTACTTGCGGATTCGCTGCTAATGCCCCAACACCCAACAAGCAGATCACATCCCAAACCAAAAACAAAAAGAGACCTCAAATCTCAAACCTCCATAGTTGAAAACTCTAGTCAAAACTCGAATGGCTGGTCAGATATGGCGAGAGCCCAGATCAGAACCTCAAAAAGCTTCTAATCGGGAGAGGGCTCACACACCGAGATAGCCCACCTGACAAACATTGTCGGAGGAGCCGCCGTCTTAGACCCCCACCCACGGCCACAACAGAGAAGGCGAGGTGGAACACCCGGTGGAAGGCCCACTGTCGCAGAACTCCATTCACAAGCGGAAAAGTGGGGCAAAGAGGAGGGGTTGTCACCGTTAGGCCAAGTCCGTGTGTAATATCCCTTTCAGTTATTAATAAAAGTGACAGTTTTAGTTCCAAGATTGAACTAATTTCGAGGCCAAGTTATTCAGTTATAAGTTCGAAATTAAGAGTTGTTCAAGAAACAAGCCACACGAGTCGTGTGGAATGAGCCACACAAGTCGTGTGAAGCCACACGAGTCGTGTGACAAGGCACACGAGTCATGTGGAAGGAGTGAAAAAGGAAAGTTAGCTTCGGCTTTTTCACACGAGTCGTGTGACAAGGCACACGAGTTGTGTGGAGTCACACGAGTCCTGTGACATAGCCACACGAGTCTTGTGACCGACAGAAAGGTCTGATTATTGAGAATCCGATTGTGATCTCAACTAGAGTCTATTTTCAAGTATTATTTATGAAGTTGTGAAGTATACAAGTTAGTCATTATCTAGTTTATGTTTTATTATGTTCATTTCTTCACTCCATCTTCATGTCTTCAAATTGTGCCTATAAATAGAGGCTTAAAATTCAGAGTTTTTACACCAAAGAAAATTTCCAAAAGTTATATAAGTTCAGAAGAGAGAATAAGTAGTAGAAATTTTGGTGAAGTGAAGAATTTGGAAGTGAAGAATCAAGTTTCGATTTCTAGCAAGAAGGAGGTATTTTATTTATCTTAAGCTTAATACTAATTCCATGCTTTGAAAATGAGTTTAGATATTTATGAGCATATATATATATATCAATGATTTAGAAGTTGAGTTTGTAATTGATTCTATGAATACAAGCAGTTAAAGTTGTTTCAAGATCAATTATATGATATATGTGCTTGATTTGAATGAGATTTTCATAAGGATAAGCATAAGCTGGAAAAGTATGATTTACATGAGTAATTCTTGTGTAAAAGGGAAGTACATAAGAAACAAGAATTAAGTTATTTGACATAGTATAGCTTGAGTTATAGATTTTTGAAGTTGAACATGCAAGCTGAATTTTATGTTCACCGTTTTAGTTGTGACTTTAAATTCTAATAAATTGATGGATATGCATGTTAAAATTATGAAATTTTTATGACATGTCTAAATATGAGTTAAGAACATAACTGTTAAAATTCATGATTTAAAGTTGAGAAATGAATGAGTTATGATATTAAGATGGCATATATGTAAAGATGAGTTTATATGCAAGAATATTCATTATATGTTCAAGTTTTTAAAGTGAGATTATTATGAAAAATTCTCATATAAGTGATGAGCAATTTGACAAAGTGTTTAACTTAATATGTTGAGTATGCAATTTATAAAGATTGTTTTAAGTCTCGCATATTAAAATCATAATTAAGTGTTATGATTAAAAGTTGAATTGTATGAGTATTGTGTTGAAATTTTTTGTTTCATGCAAGTTTAAGATAAGTTTAATAGTTTATAAAGTTTTATAAATCATGAATATGATGTTGGTAAAAGAAAGCATTTTTTGAGTTCATGTACTCAATCAAGTATAATGTGAAATTTAGTTATTTTCGCACTCGAGTTATTTAAGTGACATGCGAGTATAAGTCAATATCTAAGATTTGAAAAATATGATTTATATGGGTTAAGTACTTGATTGAGTAAAAGTTCAAGAAAAGTTAAGTTTAGTATTCATTTGAGCAATAGCATGACTATTGAATCTCTTTAAGATTTGGATAAGTTATCCGTTAGAGTTAAGAATCCCAGCATCTTATTGAGTATACGAGCATAGTACTTTGTATATTTGCTTATATTTTTATGTAGATTGAGGAGTTAGCTACCCAAGAACAACACTTAAGATTTTTCAAAAGAAGAAAGGTGGGGACCCAGACTGGGTATTACATTGAGTATAATATTGATATCATGTCCGAGGTATGTATACAGTTTATACGCTTTGGATGAAGGCTTCCAGTTTGCCTTACGAGTACATCCTAAGTTCTGATGGAGGCCCTCAGTTGCCTTAAGAAATATCCATCAGCTTGTGCACAAGTATCCGATCAGATATCGACCAGTTACAAATTCAGTTTAAGTTACTGGAACATATTTCCAGTTCAGATATATACCAACGATCATGATATTACATTATTATTGCTGTTTACTTCAGTACGGGTGATTTTGGGGTACAAGAGGATCAGTATTCACGCCCATTGTGATTTTCAGATAACAGGGTCGGGCCGGAGGTGTGAGCTCAAGAAGTGGTGGTGGTGGTCATGCACTTATTTCAGTGGACATTTATTATGAATTTGATATGTCTGTATAATTAATCATGTTTTTAAGTATTTCCGCTACGCATATTAAAACTTGAACTTGCATTTTAATAAATTTCAGATTTCAGGTTTTCACCATTTCAGAAGTATGAATATGGTACAGTTAAATGCCAGTCTAAATAAACCTGTTTTCTTTATGTCTAATGTAGTATTAGACAAAGTTTAAAAATGAACGGATTTTCAGAAAAGATAAAGTTTGTGTACATCCCGAGTTAGTCGCAAAAGGTTTCGAAAGATGTATAAGTATTTTCGCAGTAAAAGTTGCGAAAAATTCACTCTGATAAGCGGGGCGTTACAGGTGGTATCAGAGCTAGAGTTAAGTGCTCTGTATACTAAAAGTTTAAGTTTCAGAAAACAGTTTCAGGAAAACCGACCACACCACACTCACACCTCGCCGACAACCAGGTAAGTGTTGTTAAAAGTTTTTATGAAAGTTTTTATATAAGCGTTACTAAGTCTATGCTCAATAGGATTCAGATATCCGAACTTTAGAAATCAGAAGAGATGCTCAATCAAAGATTTCTAGTATATTAGATATAGTCCCTATCAGATTTCAGAACTCTAGATTATCGAGTTAATTAGCAACTCATCAAGAAATAATGGCTTATCTAGAAATCAGCATTTCATTTCCAATTGTGCTAAAGTCTATTATGGGATTAATAATCCAGATGGCACGCCGTGTGAGCCAATATCAGAGGGAGATGACATCGGCAGAAGTAGTAGCCCAGTTCCGGGACTACAATGCTGAGAAGTTTTGTGGACAAGGAGATCCCCGTCTTGTGGACGAATGGATCCAAGGTCTGGAGTAAATCTTTGAGATTACTGAGTGCTCAGAGAAACATCGCATTCTCTGTGCTCAGTTGCAAATGACTGGAGATGCCCGTCTCTGGTGGAACTCTTACTGGGGCATGCGTCTTGGTGAGAAAGAGAATCTCACTTGGGCCCAGTTCAAAGAGATGCTGAAGGAAACGTACTACCCTGACTACTATAAGGCTGAGATGGAACGCCAATTCTTGGCGTTAGTTCAGGGTAATCGCTCAGTAGATGAATATGAGCGAGATTTTACTCGTTTGGGATCCTTTGTTACCAATCTAATAGAGCAGAGGAAAAGAAGGAAAGACGTTTTCGAGATGGCCTGCTACCCTCGATTCGTCACCATGTAGCTGGACATAATATTCAGACTTATGCTGATATTGTGGCCAAGGCTCATGAGATTGAGGCTAGTCTCAGAAGGAGAGAAGATCAAGTCTGTGTGCAGCCATTACCTCAATTCCCAGCATTACCACCAGCTCAGTTAGCACCTGTTCAGCAAGAAAAGAATGGGAAGAACAAGATAAAGTGGAAAGGTCACAAGAATGACCGCAAAAATAAACAGAAGCAGCAAGGTGAACAGGTTCCAGCCTGTGTCACCTGTGGGCGACATCACAGAGGAGAGTGTCTAGCTGGACA